TAAACGCATCTAGGAACACCTGACCCACGGATGGCTCGGGAGCCAGAGAGGGGCATGTGTCCGTGTCCCCGGCTAGCCTTTCTTCTTGGTGTGCGTCAGGATGTGCGACTTGAGGTTGGTGGACTGCGCGAACTTCTTGTCGCAGCCCTCGAAGGGGCAGACGTAGGGCCGGTCGCCGGTGTGGATGCGCACGTGGGTGCGGAGGTTGAAATCGAGCGAGAAGCACTTGCCGCAGCCCTCGAACGTGCACCGGTAGGGCTTCTCGCCGGAGTGCACGAGCTGGTGCCGCCTCAGCTTGGAGCTTTCCACGAAGCCCTTGCCGCACTCGGCGCAGATGTGGCCCTTGGGGCCGTGGGTGTGCAGGTGCTTCCTCATGGACGCCGTATCCCGGAACATCTTGCCGCAGTCTCTCTGCAGGCAGGCCACGGTTCTCGGGATGTCATCCAGGGGCCTTCTGGGCTTCATTCTGGTAAACTCGGCCAGCTGGACGGGATCGGACAAGTCAATGCCGGGTAGGCCGCCCGGGGGGAGTTTCTTCCCCGTCATGTACTCGGAGTAATCAGGAGAGAGGCTCGGAGGGCTCGCCGCGCTCTGCTTTTCCTCCGCCTGCTCGCCTTCGGCCTCTTCTCCTTCGGCCTCGTCTCCTTCGGCCTGGTCTCCTTCGCCGACGGGAGACCACATGGCGACGGAGAACTCGCCCTCCAGGGTGCGGATCTGCACCCGCTTCTGCTCCCATTTCCTGCCGCCGCCCTCGGAGCCGCTGCCCTCGGAGCTGCTGCCCGCCGCCCCGGCCGCGGCCGCAGCCGCACCCGCGCCCGCGCCCGCGCCCTTGGCGGGGCGCTTCTTACCGGCTCTTTCGGCTTTTTCGGTGCCGCGGCCGGCGGCGCTCGGCGAGCCGTGGCTGCGCTTTTTGGGCTTTTTGTCGTGGCTGCTGCGCTTCTTGACCTTCTTGCCGGCCGGGGCGGCGGAGACTGACAGGGAAGCCAGAGTCCGCTGGAAGCAGACATAGTCCTCGTCCTTGTCGTCATCCTCCTCCTCCTCTTCTTCTTCCTCCTCCTCGTCCTCCTCGTCCTCCAAGACCAGCGGCGGCACCGGTACCTCATGGCAGCTAGCCTGCTCGTCGTCGGAGCCGCCCACCACCTCCTCGCGGGTCTGCACCTCGACCTGATCCCCTTCGTCGGCGTTCGCCACGAGCGGCTGCAGCGCGATCAGAGGGGAGCTGTGGTGGCCGCCGTGGACCCAGCTGCCGCTGAAATCGGGAATCGCGACGGTTTCCATCGCTGCGGGCTGCGCGGGAATGTCCTCCACGGCCATATTCTCCACAGCCCAATCCCCCGCGGCGATATTCTCCACAGCGATGTTCTCTGTGGCCATGTTCTCCACAGCGACATTCTCGGCAGCGATATTCTCTGTGGCCATGTTCTCCACGGCGACATTCTCGGCAGCAATGTTCTCTATGGCCATGTTCTCCACGGCGACATTCTCGGCAGCGATATTCTCTATGGCCATGTTCTCCACGGCGACATTCTCGGCAGCGATATTCTCTATGGCCATGTTCTCCACGGCGACATTCTCGGCAGCGATGTTCTCTATGGCCATGTTCTCCACAGCAATGTCCTCCATGGCCAGGCTCTCTAGGGCGATGTGCTCCAGAGGGATGTTCTCCACGGAGATGCTCTCCAGAGGGATTGCCTCCAAAGAGATGCTATTCAGGTCGAAATTCTCCAAAGAGATATTGTCCAGGGTGAGACCGTCCAGGGAGAGGCCCTCCAGGTGGACCTGGTGCATTTCCAGATACTTGGCAGCCTCCTCCACGTCCTCGCGGGTGATGTAGATAAAGTTATTGGAAGCCATGGCTGGGCGCCCTGACGAGGCTTTCGCCGAGGAGGAGGCTTTCGCCGAGGAGGAGGCTTTCGCCGAGGAGGAGGCTTTCGCCGAGGAGAAGGCTTTCGCTGAAGAGGAGGCTTTCGCTGAGGCAGCGGCGCAGGAGGCGGCGGCGCAGCAGGCGGCGGCGAAGCTGAGGAGGAGGAGCGCGAAGCTGAGGAGGAGGGGCGCGGAGGGGCGCGGCGCGGCGCGGCGCGGCTCCGAGCGGAGAAAGGCGCGAAGAGCAGGGGACCCGCGGATTTAGGCATTAGACGCGGGGGATTCTGGGCATCCTGGTAACCAGCGCATGCGCGTCCCGTCACCCTGGAAGCACGCGGCCGGCGCATGCGTGCAGTCTGCGGTCGCCGCTCGCTCGTACCGATATGAGACGCCTCCAACCCCTTCGCTCTGCCGACCCGCTATTGCTGCTTCGCTATTAATTCTCTAACCAGGTACTTTAATTTTTCTATATTTCACTTCCGTTTATTTTATCCATGTCTCCTCAGTGTATAACAGTATGGGGGGGGGGACTTTTTAATATTTATACTTTTTTTCCCTCTTAATTGCACGGACCCACACTTTATAGATCGTTTGATAGTATTCGTGATAGTTGACCGTGGGATTGCTTGTCTTGTCCTTTAAATAGGAATGCTTCTAAGTTAAGGTGACCAGACGTCCCGATTTTAAACAATTTGCCCCGCGGCGTTTAAAAAAGTCCCGATTTTTGGAAGAATCTTTTGGATTTTTTTTTAAAACGCCGCGGGACGCGGGACAAGTTGTTAAGAGACGAGATTGTCCCGCCAAAAGCGGGACGTCTGGTCACCTTATTCTAAGTTCTATATCATTAGGAAGCACCCAGATATTTCTACTCTTAGTAAAGATTTTTGGGTTTTAGCCATTAATAGATACTGAATTTTATTAAAGGTTTCAATATCTGCTGCGATGAAGATTCCCCTCCCCCTTAATGTTTAATAGTGATTCCCACGTTCAATTAGACTAATGTTAAACTATCCTTGCTTTGTTTAGATATATCATGCGATTTCAGATATTTTTGGTGCTTTTATCTGAGTTATATTGGCTTAAGAAAAAAATCTTAGTTTCTCTATGTGCTCTGGAAAGTTTATACTAAATTGGAATTAAGCCGAAACCGGTTTGGCTCAGTGGTAGTGCGTCGGCCTGTGGACTGAAGGGTCCCAGGTTCGATTCCGGTCAAGGGCATGTACATTGATTGCGGGCACATCCCCGGTGGGGGATGTGTAAGAGGCAGCTGGTTGATGTTTCTCTCTCATCGATGTTTCTAACTCTCCCTCTCCCTTCCTCTCTGTAAAAAATCAATAAAATATATATTTTAAAAATAAATAAATTGGAATTAAAAAGAAAAATCGTTTCCTGCAAGATTTGAAAGAATTCCACCTACGAAACTTTCAGAGCCATCCTTCCTCAACTTTCTTAATTTCTCCCATTGTAATTAACCTGTGTATATACTTTTTTCCTCTCTTCTGTGGGCTTTATTTAGACTATTATTTCCTTAGTAACTATCCAGGATTTTGAAAATTTCTTTACAGAGATGAACAAAGAACATTTTTATAATTGTATTTCTATCAGCTTCCCCAATCTGACTGCTAACTCTGTCTATAGAAGCTTTCTCCCATTGTTTAATCTTTTTCTCCTTCAAAGAACTAATGCATGGACTTAACAGTTATATTTCTTATTTTTTCCAATTTCTATTTTCCAATTATTATTTTCTGCCTATATCCTTACAAATTATAATAATTTCTGAACTATTTTATAGTTTTTCCTCTTCTTCAGTTGCTTATCTGATTTACTTTCACTTATTTCATAACTACCTAAGGCAATGAATTTTCCTTTTAAATGTACTGCAATTATTGTTTTGAATAAAACTGGACAATTTTTATATACTATGAGCACTTAAAAATAAATTGTGGTACAGATTTTGACATAATTATTTTTTTCTTATTAACAGCTTTTATGATCAGACTTTTTCATACTTACGTGCCAAATATTAATAGGTAGGAGTCTCTTTTGTTACACCTGTTTTTAATCTTTGTGCTTTCTCCATTTTCGTTTTGATGGTTTGTTACTTGGTACAGTAAGATTTACAGCAATTACATTTTCATTGTGGATTATACTCCATATGATTAAGTGCTCTGTCTCATTTAATGCTTTAGTCATATTTTCTATTCACATGGTATTTTCTTTTTGTTTTTATTGATTTTAGAGAGGAAGGGAGAGGGATATAGATAGAAACATCAATGATGAGAGAGAATCATTGATCAGCTGGCTCCTGCACACTCCCCACCAGGTATGGAGCCCGCAACCCAGGCATGTGCCTTTGGCTGGAATTGAACCCGGGACCCTTCAGTCCACAGGCTGACGCTCTATCCACTGAGCCAAACCGGCTAGGGTCACATGGTATTTTCTATTCAACTCAGTGTACTTTGTCTTTTTTAAATTGTGTTGGTTTTAGTTATATTTTTTAAAGAAAATATTTTTATTGATTTCAGAGAGGAAGGAGGAGAGGGGAAGAGGGGGAGGGAGAGGGAGAAGAAAAGAGGGATAAAGGGGGGGAGAAAGGCGGGAGAAAGAGAGGGGAGAAAGAGAGAGAGAGAGAGAGAGATATCAATTATAAGAGAGGATCACTAACTGGCTGCCTCCTGCATGTCCTCTTACTGGGCACGTGTCCTTGTCCATAATTGAACCCGGGACCCCCTAGTCTGCAGGCCGACACCCTATCTACTGAGCCAAACCAGCTAGAGCAGTGGTCGGCAAACTGCGGCTTGCGAGCCACATGCAGCTCGTGAGCTGCAGATTGCCGCACTGTTGACTAATGAGTTTGCCGACCACTGCCTTAGGGAAAAACACTTAAAAAACATTTTAATAATGTACTAATGTCTTTAAACTGAAGCCAAAACTTCTGAGTAAGGGTAATGCCTTACACAGTGGTCGGCAAACTCATTAGTCCATATGCGGCTCTCGAGCCGCAGTTTGCCGACCACTGCGCTACTTTTGACTGAGATTCTTATAAACTGAATTTAAATGTTTTCATTTGTGATTTGAGTATTTTCCATAAAACCACTAACAACACATAAAGAATAAAAAAAATTTAAATCTGTTACCTGCACAAAATATCCTTAGCTGCTGGACCGGTGATATAAGTTGCAAATGAGTGGTAAACAGATCAACAAATGCTCCAGGATAAATAATGAAGAGGAAAATTCCAAAGCCATTAAATCGAACTTGTTCTCTAAGAAATTACATAAGAAAAAGAAATTTAGCACTAGTATTCATTTGTAAAATTAATAATGTATGTAATTTTAGTACTTCCCACTATAGTTCAGATTCTTATAGAAAAACAAGACTCTCTTGACAGTCAAAAAGTTATACCTACATATATGATTATCGAGCTATCATTTATCTACATCTCATAATTTTACAATAACATACATATTTGGTCATTGATGAAATTACATTTTATAAAACAGCATTGTGAAATATAGACTTTTAACTTGAAAATTCTTAGAAATCAATATGCTAAACAAATAGCTTAAAATTAGTCATATATATATATATATAGTTTAATATTTCTATGAGAAACTAAATAAAAAACATTTTTATGGCTGAAACAGGTTTGGCTCAGTGGTAGAGCGTCGGTCTGCGGACTGGAAGGTCCCAGGTTCAATTCTGGTCAGGGGCATGTACGTTGGTTGCGGGCACATCCCCGATAGGGGGTGTGCAAGAGGCAGCTGGTTAATGTTTCTCTCTCATCAACGTTTCTAGCTCTCTATCTCTCTCCCTTCCTCTCTGTGAAAAATCAATAAAATATATTTTTAAAAAATAAAATAAAATATATTTAAAAAAAAAAAAAAAGGGTGAGTCCCTGCTTCCATGCTGGCAGGTGTGGTCAGGGAACTGAGTCATCATGTTTAAAAAAAAAAAATTATGGTTTAGTCTGAATTATTTACAGAGGACACAGTAGAAAATATAATTCAAGTACATTATCTAAATATTCATATTTGTCTTAGCTTTTATATTATTATTATTTTGTTAATCCTCACCTGATATTTTTCCATTGATTTTTAGGAGTAGAAGGGAGGTGGAGAGACAGAGAGAAAGAAACATCTATGCCAGAGAGACATATCGATTGGTTGCCTCCCACACACGCCCCGACCAAGGCCGAGGAATGAGCCTACAACCAAGGTATGTGCCTGTCCTTGACCAGAATCAGAACCCGGGACCCTTCAGTATGTGGGCTGACAGTCTATCCACTGAGCCGAACTTGCTAAGGCTGTCTCTGCTATAATAAATTAAGGTAGAGGTTTATCTAAGTTTATTCATGTTAAACTAAGTACTGTTAAAAATGTATTATGCTCAGACTTTCCTTAGGAGAACTATATATCAATTCATCCTCTAAAAATGGAATTCTGCCGAAGCCAGTTTGGCTCAGTGGTAGAGCGTTGGTCTGCGGACTGAAAGGTCCCAGGTTCGATTCCGGTCAAGGGCATGTACATTGGTTGCAGGCACATCCCCAGTGGGGGGTGTACAGGAGGCAGCTGGTCAGATTTTTAAAAAGGCAGCCACCCACTTAAACCACTACTCAGCACATCTGTGTGGCAGTATGTGCTCTGTCACAATGAGGGTTTATTGCCAATCTATAGACTCTTGTTCATAAGCAAGTGGAAAGTAATAAGAAGTGATTAAATCTTCTCCTCAAAAACCTTTAACTAGGTCTATACACCGAAGGGAGTATTTTAATACATTTTTGTAATAAATTAAATGTATTTAAATGTATTAAACAACACATCCCCATTAGCATGTTTACTCCTTAGGCAGTAATTATCAGCGGGAGTCACTCGCCCATCATGATTTTATAGGTTTAGGAACCTTTAAAATAGCCAGCTATAATTACAATACATTTGGGTAGTCACAACAAAAGGAGGGCATGATACTTGAAGGAAGTCCTAGTTCTCATCCTCCCTTATCTTGTTTTGATAGGCTGTGAAATTTGTTAACAAGCCCAGAGCTTCCAGTGTTCTTGCTCTACTTAGCAGAGGCCAAGAGTTGAAGCAGGAAAGTATTTCAACTGATAAGCCAGAGAGAGTACTAAGAAGGCAATGCAAAGGTATCAGTCTGACCCAATGATGAACAGAAAGATTAGATTTCAGGATTAGATGAAAATCATGAAGCACCCTGAGGATAGAACTGTGCTGGTAGAGGGCAATGGACAGAAAGACCCGGATTATAGTTACACATATGATTAACGGAGCAAATTCATCACTATATAACTCTCCTCTGCGAAAGAGAGGCACCTCAAAATAATAATTACAGATATACACTGGGTAGCATGCACAGAAAGAAAAATATCAAATGTTAGCAGATTTTAGTAATAAAATCTCCGAAATGCAAGCTGCTTTGCATGTAGTAGGAATAAAAAGGTAAATAGCATTACCTAATGGCTGCTATCCCGTGTCCAATTTCATGTACGACACCGCTAATGAGGACTGCAGCGAAGAAATAGGTCAGTTGGTTGACGGGTAAATTTATACCAGGAACCTATAAATTTCATAGACACAAGGATAAGCACACACTTGGATACCAAGAAAACATGATGTTCACTTTGTATTAAAAGCTTAAACTTCAAAGCTGATAGTTCTAAAAACTAAAAATAATGTGAATATCAATGGTTCATTTTTTTTCATTTCTATCATAATAAAAGTAAAAACACCAGTCATTTTTTTTTTTGAAGCAGGCCACTTTTGAATTAAGCAAAATACCAATCTAAAGAAAACAGGAAACATCAGGTTAAGAAGCTGAAACTTTAGCTTCCTGCAGTTTTCACCATGGGAAAGAATCAGAGAGCCTGGCAAAGTGCTAGCGGCCAGGGAGTGTGAAGTGACATTGCAGTCACCTAGAAGCCTGATGTGGGAATTCTGTTTACAAGTCCTAGTTCTTCCTCTATTCCTCTTCAGTGTTTCTCAACGTGAGGTACGCGAACCCCGAGCACGGGAAGAGTTTGGTTGGGGTACTCGTTGCACTGGAGTTTGGTGGGGATATGCACTGCACCGTGCTTAACTGCGCCTAATTCTACGTTCTCATGAGTACGAGGGGTACTCAGCGTTACGAAAATTATAGAAGGGGTACACATATGTCAAAAGTTTGGGAAACACTGCATATTGTTATTGCAGGGTTCCAAGTACTTATGTGAATAATATAGGATATCATCACCCCCATCAATGGATTTCCTTTTAGTATTCTCAAGTTATATGAGAGTTGTAAATTAAAGGTAGTGTAATAAAGTGCCTTGTTGGTGTAGGACTACTATACCCTCCATTACTTTGATTGCATCGGTTTGTCCAGTACATGGTAGGAGCAAAGTGATACATAAATACTGTATTAAAATTGATATTCAATGCAGAAGGTATAGCATTTGGAACATTCATACATATTAAGGCCTGTGAAGAATGAGTTGTCTTGTGCCCTAACCGGCTTGGCTCAGTGACTAGATCGTGGGCCTGTAGACCAAAGGGTTTTGGGTTCGAATCCAGCAAGGGCATGAACCTTGGTTGCAGGCTCCTCCCGGCCTTGGCCCTGGTTGGGGCTCCTGCAGGCGGCAATCTATCAAGATGTTTCTCTCACATCGATTTTTCTCTCTGTTTTTCCCACTCCCTTCCACTCTCCCTAAAATTCAATATAAAAATATCCTCAGGTGAGGATTAAAACAACAAAAAGTTGTCTATTTTTTTTTTTACAAAAAGTTGTCTTGCAAACATGTGCTCCTAAGATGTTGTATAGGTATTCAGCATTGCATACACAGGGAAGTTTGTGATTTAAAGGCTGCATGACAAATTATTTTATTTTTTTATTATTATTTTTTAAAATATATTTTATTGATTTTGTACAGAGAGGAAGGGAGAGAGAGAGAGAGAGTTAGAAACATCGATGAGAGAGAGTCATCGATCAGCCGCCTCTTGCACACCCCCTACCGGGGATGTGCCCGCAACCAATGTACATGCCCCTGACCGGAATCTAACCCGGGACCTTTCAGTCCCCAAGCCGACGCTCTATCCATTGAGCCAAACCGGTCTCGGCAAATTATTTTATTTTTTAAAATATATATATATTTTATTGATTTTTACAGAGAGGAAGGGAGAGGGGGAGCTAGAAACATTGATGGGAGAGAAACATAAATGAGCTGCCTCCTGCACACCCCCTTCAGGGGATGTACCCAAAACCAAGGTACATGCTCTTGACCGGAATCGAACCTGGACCCTTCAGACCGCAGGCCGATGCTCTATCCACTGAGCCAAACCAGTAAGGGCTTATTTTATTTTATTTTATTTTATTTTATTTTATTTATTTATTTTTAAATATATATTTTATTGATTTTGTAGAGAGGAAGGGAGAGAGATAGAGAGTTAGAAACATCAATGAGAGAGAGTCATCGGTCAGCTGCCTCTTGCACATCCCCTACTGGGGATATGCCCGCAGCCAAGGTACATGCCCTTGACCGGAATCGAACCTGGGACCTTTCAGTCCCCAAGCCGATGCTCTATCCATTGAGCCAAACCGGTTTTGGCTTTTATTTTATTTTTTAAATATACTTTTCATTGTTGATAGCATTACAGATATTTCCCATTTTCCCCTCCTTTACTGCCCTCTAAATTATTTTTTTAGATACCCAAGAATCTGCTCATAAGATAAATAATCACTCCCAAGTTATGTCAATTGTTGAGAGATTCTATAAATTAGGCTAAGTGGGGCCCTCCAGGGATTAATACTATACTGAGCATCTATTTCTCACAGTCCAGGAGTTGGGTCCCTGAAGGTATCCTTCTGGAGGAAATTCCTACTTTCTATTATTAACTATTGTTTTAAATTAATTATAAAGTATGTCTAAAGCAGGAAAACATGAAAACTCAAAAGATAAAGAGAAGCCTATAATCTTGTTCCCAGAACACAAAAAACATTCTCAATGTTTTGATGCATGTCTTTCTATCTTTTCATGTACATTTATTTTTTAACCCTTTGCACTCCGAACCATTCTGGACATTGGCTACCAGCTACTCGACGCTACTTTGCGAAACGTGCGTTAAATTAACTCAATTCCCCGTAATCACTAATAAACTGCAATATCCCCTGAGAGGGGACATCCAAGTGATATGCTAGAATTCCGATGTCCCCTGAGAGGGGACAGCGGAGTGCAAAGGGTTAAAATTGGGCTTTTATTATGAATACTAGAGCCCTGGTGCACGAAATTTGTGCACTGGCGGGAGTGGGGGGGTGCGGGGCCGGAAGGGGGTTCTCAGCCCGGCCTGTGCCCTCGCCCCATGATCAATCACCCACAGAGGGAGGCCCCGCCCACCTGCCGCAGCCTGCCAGCTGGTGGCCTGGGCCTCCCTCTGCAGGGCAATTGTGGGGTGATGGTCCTCCCCTTTCCCCCCGCCCCCAGACCAATCGAATCGCACTGGCCTTGGCTGGCCTGGGACCAGTGCGTGTCATAGCATGGTTGTCCGGATAGTCATTTTGCTGTTCGGCTGTTTGGCCGGCTTACATATTACTCATTTATTATTATAGATGGTTTTCAAATCTGACCCTTTCATTTAGTAGTTCCACAAAAATTTTCCCATGAGTATTTTCTGATTTAACATGTTTTTAACAGCTGCATTTTAATCTATGGAATAAATTATTGGGCATTTAATTGTCTTAAAAAATTCTGCTTTTTTGTTTTGTTTTGTTAATCCTCACCAGAGGATATTTTTCCATTGATTTATAGAGAAAATGGAAGGGAAAGGGAGAGACAGAGAGAAACATCTATGTGAGAGAGATATATCAATTGGTTGCCTAATACACACAACCGGACGAGGGCCGGGTAACTTACACCAAGGTACATGCCCTTGACAGGAATTGAACCCAGGACCATTCAGTCTGCAGGCTGATGCTTTCTATCCACTAAGCTAAACTGGCTAGGGCTAAGTTTCTGCTCTTATAAATACTATAATAAACATAATTTGACACATATATCCAAATATTTTGGGGAGATAAATTATTAGACAAGCATGGTTGGTCAGGCTCCAGAGAAATATCACTTGAGTTAGACCACTGGTCGGCAAACTGGGGCTCGCGAGCCACATTCGATCTTTGGCCTCTTGAGTGTGGCTCTTCCACAAAAACACCACAGCCTGGCCAAACCAGTTTGGCTCAGTGGATAGAGTGTTGGCCTGCAGACTGAAGAGTCCCAGGTTCTTTTCCCGTCAAGGGCATATACCTTGGTTGCGGGCACATCCCCAGTTGGGGGCTGTGCAGGAGGCAGCTGATCAATGATTCTCTCTCATAGATGTTTCTAATTCTCTATCCCTCTCTCTTCCTCTCTGTAAAAAAATCAATAAAATATATTTAAAAACAAACAAACAATAACAGCCGAAGCCGGTTTGGTTCAGTGGTAGAGCGTCGGTCTGCGGACTGAAAGGTCCCGGGTTTGATTCCGGTCGGGGGCATGTACATTGGTTGCGGGCACATCCTCGGTGGGGGGTGTGCAGGAGGCAGCTGGTCGATGTTTCTCTCTCATCAACGTTTCTAGCTCTCTATCTCTCTCCTTTCCTCTCTGTGAAAAAATCAATAAAATATATTTAAAAAACAAAAAACAAACAACAACAAAAAATACCACGGCCTGGGCGAGTCTATTTTGAAGAAGTGGCGTTAGAAGAAGTTTAAATTTTAAAAATGTGGCTCTCAAAAGACATTTCAATCTTTGTACTGTTGATATTTGCCTCTGTTGACTAATGAATTTACCGACCACTGGGTTAAACAGTTTGCCTCCATCACTAAATAGCTAAGTGACCTGGAGAAAATTCAATTATTTCCCCACTTCAATTTCCTCATTTTTAAAATGGAAACAAGCAAATTTAATAAGAGAGTAATTTTAAGGATTACATGAGATAATCCTTGTCCAATGTTTAAAATTATGCCTCATAGAAAGGGTAAACAAATGCTATTATTACACAAAATCTAAAGGACTTTCATATATACCAAACTGCTAACAGCAGACACTTCCATAACTTGGGCAAGCTCATTTTATTCAAATTGGCAATTTTTAAAAAATAATATATTTTATTGATTTTTTACAGAGAGGAAGGGAGAGGGAGAGAGCTAGAAACATTGATAAGAGAGAAACATCGATCAGCTGCCTCCCACATCCCCCCCACTGGGGATGTGCCTGCAACCAAGGTACATGCCCTTGACTGGAATCAAACCTGGGACTTTTCAGTCTGCAGGCCAAAGCTCCATCCACTGAGCCAAACCGGTTTCTGCTCAACTCAGCAATTTGAGAGAAATACAAAGCATCCCGCCCTAGCCGGTTTGCCTCAGTGAATAGAGCATTGGCCTGCGGACCAAAAGGTTTCAGGTTTGATTCCGGTCAAGGGCACAAATCTCAGTTGTAGGCTCCTCCCCAGCCTGGGCCTTGGTTGGGACACGTGCAGGAGGCAACCACTCAATGTATTTCTCTTACATCGATGTTTCTCTATTTTCCTTCTCTTCTACTCTCCCTAAAAAAA